CCCTGGGGCGGGCTGGCTGCCTCCCTCCCCTGCGGGCTGCCTGCTCAGCTGCTGTTGGCGAGGAGAGTTCGGTGAGGGCAGGGAGGTGCTGTGGGTTCGGAGGGGAGGGCTGACCCCCGGCCCTGCCGCTGACTGGAACAGTTTGTCTCTTACCACGCTGAAAGCAGAGGGACAAGTGCTACCCAAAGGCTGCACAGCAGGGAGTGGTTGCTGCGCTTCATGCCTGATGTGTTTCAGAAGAACGCTCTGGGCAGGGATAAGGGAAAGCGTGTGACAGGGGGTGGCCCTGAGGTTTTTTTATCCCACCTCTCCCTTCCCAAGGTGCAGGAAACCTGGGCAGGAGCCATACCTGTGGCCTGGGCTGGGCTGGCGGGGCCGGGGGCCAAAAGTGCTCCCGCCCTTGGGGTCTGCCCCGTGCTCGTCTGGCAGGGCAGAGGGCAGCCCCTGGCTCCTCTGGACAGCCCATCCAGATTGTGCAGCTCCTGCCCTTACCCTCCCTGCTGCTCCCTGAGGGCTGTGCTGTGGGCACAGCAGAGCAGAGAGCTGCTGCCTGCCAGGCAGGCTCTGCAGTGTGGCACCGTCACCTGGCACCGTGCCGAGGTGAGCGCTTGGCCCAGGCTCAGAACGTGCCTTGGCAGGACCCCGGGGCAGCCTGGCTGCTTAATATTGATGGGCCCTGTCTACACGAAGGCCTGGGGGCCCCAGCCCCGCAGATCATTTTCCCAGCTGCTGGGCCAGCTCGGGTTCCTCCTCGCTCCCAGCACGGCTCTCAGGTGGGACGAGGGGCTCGGTGAGCAGGGGACAACTTCAGAGCATTGCCTTGGCCTTGGGCTGCCCCTAGGCCACTCCTTTGCTGGCATGCGACATTGTCCAAGTTGGATCCAGGCGAGGGAAAGGGGAAAAGCGTTGGGACTCTTGGAGTGGGGCTGTGAGGTTGGGAAAGGTGCAGGGTGGCCTCTGCGGTGTCCAGAGGTTGAGGTGAAAGGAAGCAGCATCCAGGCCCTGCTTTTTGGGGGTGAGGAGAGGGACCAGGGAAAGAAGAGTAATCCTGGCGTGGCTCCTCTGTGTGTGTCTTGTGTGGGTTCCCCCATTCCCAAACCTGTTGGGAAGGGCTGGGCCTGGGATCATCCCTGGAACTGGCCCAGCATCCTGCATGCTCGTGTCTTCTCTGGTTTCTTCTGAGTCAGACTCTCCGTGTCGCTCCCCCGGTCCCCTCCCTGCCGGGAAAGACGAGATGGGACCAGAGAGCATCTGAGCCCAGACACCGAGGGGCCTGTGCCCCCTGCTCCACGCAGAGAGCCGTCCCAGCGACAGCGGTCCTGCAGCCTCCGGGAGCCTGGGCTCAGCTCTCCCTGCTCCGCATCCTTATGTGGGGTGAGGCAGAGGCCCCTGCCCTGCAGAGTCGGTGCAGCGAGCTGCAAGACTGACATCAGCGCGTCCAGGAGGGCAGACCATTCCTCAGGGGCAGTGGGGTGGCCTGCCCATGCCGAGCTCCTCTCCCCCCAGGCGTGCTGCGGCAGGGATGAGGAGCCGGCAGCGGACGTTTGCAGCGGTGATGCGCCTGCTCCTCAAGTGCCTACGGCT